ACAAAGTATGATTGAACTTTTCTGTGTTTTTGTTTCATAGTTTTTTGTTAAAAATATGCCTTCGGGGTTAAAACTTCAATATGATGCTACCTCTTTGTAAGTGAATTGAAATCCTTTGTTGGGGTACAATGGAATAACCAAAATCACTGCTTAACCATAAAAGTCCTTTTAAACAGGATGTGGAATTTACGGGGAAAAATGACAAATAGATTTAATAAACTGGCATTTTATGATCTCAGGAATATGTCTGAAATGAGTTTGGTTTCATAAAAAAAATGACCTGAATATTTTTGCAGGCAGACGCTGGCAAGACTGCAACACATTTTTAACTGTTACTCTGTCTTTGGCAAAAGATGAAAATCCAATCAGGCAAATGGTTTTGAGTGTTCTCTCCTTTTATTTCTTTTCCTGTCTTACACCCAAACATTTCTGTTTAAACAAATGTATGGGTGCCGTGACTTGTTCTTACTTTCCAAAATAACTGTGATGGTCTATTTTTGGAATACATGGGGTACATCAATAAAGAAGCAATGACGGACCCAAAGAAGTGCAATCTTCTGTACCCAATCATTTGAGTTTTTACACACACTCCGGCAGTGGGCAAATACTTTTCAAGAAAAGTGAGACATTTCTAAGAGAAAAGCCGAGTTCACAGTAGTCTGTACATAAAGATTCTGGCCACACAAAATAGTAAACTTCTCAAAATATTTGCCCTAGCAAAACACTTTTTATATTTCCGTAATCTCTCCTGGGCTTTTTTCCTGATTTTTCTCGCCTTATTTCTTTCCAATACTTAATTAATTTATTAGTTGTTTAGTTACACGTCTTGGTTATTATTAGTCAATGACTGTTTATTTATAAAGATTACCCAAAAATTGGCATTGCAATAGTCTGTGCATTTGCATTGTGCACAGACACATGAACTAGCAGTGGACATCATGCATTATCAATGTGCCCGAGTCAAGCCCCCCCTTGTGGTACAGCGTGTAAACTTGTTTAGCCAAGCTGTGCACTGTGCAGTCATAGATACGTATGGAGTAAATGTTATGATGGAATGTTTGGTTCTTTATTCTTTATAAAAAGAAGCTGTACTAGTATAAATAGCTACTGTACATTATATATTAGTAGTTGTTGTCTAGACCTCTAACAAGTCCCACTTGTGTAAGACTGATGGAAATAAACTGCCCTTATGTTAAATTTAGAGATCGCTCTGTCGAGTCTTTATTTATTGAGTCTTCCTGCGGACGAACCCACCACAGTATGGTATCCCCTGCGGACGAACCCACCACAGTATGGTATCTCTGTAGTTACGTAGCATTTTGCAGAGGAAACTTGAAAGAAAATATGGTCAAGTTTCATTTTAGAGTGTACTGATACCCCGTCTTCACAAAAATGATTAATCCATCTCTAGCTAATGGTGATATTTTTATCCAACTGCAAAGTGGCTGCAATTTGTCCTTTGCTCAAGAAGCTAGGACTTGAGCCAAACTTTCAACTCAACATGTTCATGCCAATCTGTTGCTACCTGCCACAGTCTGCATACAGACACTTTTATAGCACAGACAGTGCACTGCTGAGAATGAAGAGTGATCTTCTCGTGGCCATAGTACTGAATACACTGCAAACTCACTTTGGTATGCTGCATTGAGTCCTATCTCAGTGGCAGACAGCATCAGATAGTCATGGGTGATGTAACTTCAAGAAAATTTGGTATTTCATCAGGTGTCCCACAGGGTTCCTGTTTGGGCCCCCTTGCTTTTACTTGTTTTTCCAGTAACTGGATACACATGACTAATAGATATTATCCTCAGGTCTCTTGTCACTGTTATGCTGAAGGTACACAACTCTACATTTCCTTCAACCCAACTACTGATCACCAAACTAGAGGTCTATTGATACTACAATAATGTACTGCTCACATTCGTTCATGGATGTTTTAACAAACTGATGCTCGGTGATAATAAAACAGAACTGTTGCTTGTCAGAGCACCTAAGCAGCTTGCCGAGAGAAACATCCACAGCATAACAGTTGGAACTATCCAATGTTCAGCCATCCAAAGTTGCAAAAAAGCTGGGAGTGCTGTTTGATTCCCACCTTAACCACTTGCTGCCGGGTGGTTTGAAAAATGCAGTGCACATAATCAGGACTTTTTCAAGATATTCAGTTTTCAAAATTCTTCAAAAAGTCATCATTTTAATCAGTGGGCATTTACACCCTCATGAATTACTGTCTGGTGGCCACTCTAGTCTAACAGACAAAATCTACTGATGCCCAAGTATTTCAGCCAGGCCTGCAGCCTTGTAAAAAGAGCTCAGATTGTGCGGTGTTACATAACTTTCTTTCGTTCACCAACCTGGCACAGTGCGCTGCAGACCTCTTTTCAATTGGGGCCAGATTAGTGGACAGCAGTGCTTTGTGGCTCGCTGCTGTGGTGGTGGAGAGCTTTTGTCCCCTGTGGTAATCCGCTCACACTAAATGGGGCACTTGTGAGAAGTTGGCTCCCTGATTTGTTAACCACTTCGTGCCGGTGGCAGTTACCAATGTTGATGATGCTGGGGTGGGATAATTATCATTTTTTCTGTTTTCTTTAAAACTTCCTATCTTCATTTACTGGACACTTACACCCACACGAAGGACTGTCTGGTTTCTACTCTAATCTGACAGACAACATACATGTATATTAATGCTGGAATATTTCAGCCAGGCCTGCCGCCTTGTAAAAAGAGCCCAGATTTTGCAGTGTTCACGAAACAGACACAGTGCGCTCTTTTTAATACAGGCCAGATTAGCATGCAGCGGTACTGTGAGGCTTATCACAGTGGTGGTGGAACATATTGTCCCTGGTAGTAATCTGCTCACGCTAAATCCTAAAAACCATGGTATACTGTTTCAAAACAAGGCTAGATTATCTCCACTATTGAGTGAAAAAATGTCGGTAATGCCCAGCAGCCTGATTTTTTGTTCAGAGTAGTCTTTTGTTACAAGGCCCAGTTGCCTTTGTCCAATTTCAGAGACCCCAGCCATGCGTATAAACACGTGGTGCCCGAAACCGGAATCCCCAGTGGCAAGTGGTTAATATGGATCGACACATAACTAATATTAGTAAGGGTGCTTTTACTATCTGTAAAACCTTCGTCAAATTTGAAAATACTTAAGCCAGATAGACTTGTGCTAAAACCTTGGTTCGAGCGTTTATTATGTGCAAAGTTGACAACTGTATTAGTTTACTATATAGACTTCCCAATGCCGAAGTATCAGAGCTATAAAGAGGGCAGAATGCTTGTGCTAGATTTGTGTATAACGCTGCCAAATACTGCCGCAATTCCCCTTGCTGGTTAAATTACACTGGTTGCCTGTTCGACAAAGAACTGCATATAAAATACTTGGCTTTCATGGCTTAGCACCAGGTTACATCTCTGAATTACTGGTAACTAAATCCCTGCCACCTTTGTACTGTCTTCGCAGTTCAAACGACAGGTTGAACCTAAGCCATCCCTATTGTAGAACTCAGGCTAAGAATGTCAATTTGTTTGTGCAGCTCCTAGGCTTTGGAACAACCTGCCCTTGCATGTAAGAAATGCCAAGTCTATTGACGCATTCAAGATTGATCTAAAAACTCATCTCTTTAAAGAAGTTTTTTCCAACACCTAATTTACAACCTCAGCCAGTGATGGATACTGTTATGTGCAGCTGAGTATATCTGTATAGTATCTGCGCTATATAAATGTTTTCTTACTATTATCATTATTATTGAATAGATCTGAAATTGTCAAAATCAAGCCACCAATACCAGTAATATATTTTCACCAAGGCTTGAACTCGAGTCAAAAATATAAACACAGATGTCAAAACCTGTTGTGTGACAGAGCAACCAGTTTTGAAGGCAGTGGACAACTGACTCAATTTCCATTGTGTACCACAACCACTCTAGCAGCATGGTAGCTGACTACCGTCAGGATGCAAAAATACCCATCAGACGTTGGCGCTGTGCCACACTGGCCAACTATGCATGGAGTATTGACATTCTGCCATATCCAAGTTGGGCACAGATAATATTTATGTAAAGGAATGTTAACCAGAGTTAAGAAAGTTTCTACAAGGGCACAGAATGAAAATATGGCATAATTATGCTCTTTTACTTTAGCCATCAGTCTCTGTATCATGAAATAATTTCCATTACACAAGAACGAAGAAAGAAAATTTAGTGTTCAGACTCTGTAACTAAGTTTACACCAATTCATTTTGCATTAGTTGAATATAGCATTAATGATCCAAGGAATAGCACAGTGTAGTGAGTTTTGTCACAGGGGATGACAAAAGTATGAATCAGGAAATATGACAGGAGAACTCTCATACTCACAAGTTTGAAGTTCACCATTGTAGACATGCAGGCTGGAAATATGGCTGCCACGGCTACTGCTGATGACGGTTAGGTCAGCACCAGTGTCTTTCTCTATCCTTTTGATATAACTGCCCTGTGTGAAGTAGAGAAAGTCTCCGTGCACTAGGATCCAGTTGATGGAATCATAGTTGTTTAAAACTGTCTCCTGCACTGATCCATCAAGTTTAATCCGTCGAACACTGGGCAAGGTGTTGGGAATGGGGCGAGGGGGAAAGGAGGGGTGGGTGGGTAACAAAGGCGTAGAGAAAGGGTTTATGAATGATATGCTAGAGTTAGGATTGCATGGCTTTACCACAGAGGATAGACACACAAAGGGAAGAATATGCCCTGTCACTGGAAACTCATATCTTTTTCTTCTCAACCAGTTCTCCCCTTCCTGGAGTACAATAGTTCACAACTGTGTCTATGTCTGTTTTTTTATGGGGAAACCTTGTACCCTTAGACTAGTGGACTCAGTAGAATTGGGAGCCTAAGGGGGGGTCTACATCATGCCCGATAAATTTCTAGTTCCCAAACAAGAAGGACCACTGCACTGACTAATCAAGTAAATGCATTAAACAAACTATGTAGAGAAACTGACTATGTGCATATGTGGCAGAGCCTAAGTTTTGTGAGAGTACTTATGCCTTTTTTAAATAGGAGTAGCGAGCTCCCCCCCCCTTCTTGCTCATGGTGTTCCCTTGTATTTTTTTCTGTTGGGGTATAGCCCTGGCTCCCCCCTCCCCTATATAACTTGGTCCCATGCTATGGCTACATTTGGTGTGAATAGCAGAACAGAGAAAGGACAACGTTGTTACTCCTCCTAGTTAGGGTTCTGTTGGGTTTGACTCGATGATGAGTTTCTTTTTGGCAATCTTCTTCCGATAGTTACATGTAGTTTGTGGAATTCTGTTGAAAGACTTTCTCTGAAAGACTTGAAATTATTTATTGCTGTTAACTTTTGCGGTAGTTTGGGAGCCTTGGAAAGCCGCTTTTGGATTCAAGTTTATGTTTTCATTTACAAATTATTTTGTTTTTAAGGGTATTTCATATCTTTTGTTTTTGACTTTACTCTTTTTGTCACATGTGTAGTATTTGCCAGAGTACAATTTTGCATGTATAACGTCTTAATACCTGATTAAATGTTTTGCAGTGTTCTTTATATTACATTGAATAATCTTTATATTTTTGCTTTACAGACCGTTATCAATCAATTTTTAAACAGTGTTGGTTTTAAGTTATTCAGCCTTTTTTCTTTTTGAGGTTTTAGTTCTCGTAAGGTTTCAATCATTTGGTGTTTAAGTCATTTTCAATGTTTTTGTCCTTTTTTTGGGTAGTCAAATATAGGCGTCAGAGTACATGTACACCAAGCTTACTAGGTTTAGTCTTCCGTGTTTCTGCCATGGTTTCATCGTTTCGCCATGCGGTACTAGCCTTGTCTCAAGGTGTCCATGCAGATTCACAGACTGAATTCCCCACATGTGCAATAGTCATAAGTGTAAGTATGAACTTGTTTACTCCTTAATTTCATTGCTAGTACGGAGCGCATGTGAACAGCCAATATGTGTACGTACAATGTACCATACCGCGCCACTACTGTGCTGGCTGCCGCTGCACAAATGGGGCTCATGCACGCCATAGCACTTGCAAGGCACAGCGTATGGGTGCGACGCAGACGAGCCAATCATGTGGTGGAGTGGTGCAATTTAGCATGTTTCCAGCGTAGTTCATTCATTAAAAGCAAGCATTTGAAAAGGGTTTGGTAGGCATTTATGTTTTTGGTACTTAGCAGACAGTTTTCTTTACTTTTTAAGCCATTCTTAGAGGGAAATTTTGCAAGTTCCCTTTCAAGCAGTGGATTCCGTTTCAAAGTGTTGATTCCACGAATTATGTCCATTTCCGTGATCGCTGAAAATCATTGGCTCTAATTCAGCCATACAAAGAATGTGAAATAAAATTCACCAGTGTACTCACCTGCTAAAAAGCGATGTGTAGTACAGCCAGCCATCTGTGAAGTCTATTGTCACCTCTGGACTGTGGCTTATGATAAACGCTAACCTCTCCTTGGGACCCCCTCCAGTGGAAGACCAATAGACAATGTTGAGAAACCAGCTATGTGTGCTTGTGAAATACATGACCCTGACAGTGATATAAAAGGCCTACTGTTTAAATAACAGGACAAACAGGGTATGAACAAACATGAAGTTCCTTTAAGTCCCTGTCCCTGAGAAAAAGATGACACCCAAGCAGGTTTTGAGTTGGCAGACCCTTTAAGTACCAGTCACATAGCTAGGATTTTACTGGGGGGGGCAACGGGGGCCTAAACGACCAAAAATATGGATAAAAAGTAAGTGATCTACAAGGAAAAATTCCGACTGCAAAAAGAATCCATTTGAAGTGCAGCTGTGCGTTATGTGGTGGGATGAATAATTCATTGATGGATTGATACAAGTTGCCATGTAAAGGTCCCGCTATCCCCCACATCACAGTGCTCAGATGTTTAACAGTCAAGTTACAGAGGAACACCAGTTTTAGCAGTCACTTACAGAATAAACACTGGGCTACATCAAACTCTCCTTATGTATCTCCCTCATTTTATGCATGCGTTTGTTTACTGGACTTATGCGGTAAGTAGTAAATACTTTCATTATGTTTTCATTACGAGGAACATATAAGTATTGGTTATAATGACTTTATTTAAAAGAGGAAATATCACGAACTGCTCAAAATAGGACAGTGGCTAACATTGTTCATATGGCGGTACCAACATGCGTGTAGAAAACATAATTTAATTTTTTTTCTGGATGTCCAATCTAACCTACACTACAACTGTGGTTACAAAAGAACGTGTTGAAAAGCACAAATGTTCCGCTATGGTGACTGCACCCAGAATGCACACATTTGTTTACATTGCCTGGAGTGTGGACATTCCTTTGTTTTTGTGTAGTTTGGAATCCTCAATGTTCATTGTTCTTGCACTGTGAACACCATCTTTGGATTTGTTTGTTTGTTTGTTTGTTTGATGATATTTTCTGTGGTTGTTTCTATTCCTTGTGGTGTGAATAACTCTAACCAGGAAATACCTTTAGACCTGTTTTCCAGACAGCAGTAAAATTACATGGACCTTGCTTCATCTACACCAGATTTGCACACCCTGCATTATGTGGACCTCTTTTGTTTAGGGTCCACACCATTCTGCCACAAACTGATGCCCAAGTCCTGCTTTAGTAAACTGCTTGACAACTGTGAAATGACCAGTTGACTTTCAGGAATTAATGCAGAGGTAAGGGGGTTATGCATGCGCATTTGGCGCTCCTAACTGTAGTTTCCAGATTTGCTGTTAAAAGCAAACACACACACAGATTTTTGACACATGATTCTGAGGAAACTACTTGTTGGTATTTAACTCAAATCACCCATACACAGACTTGTCAAATAGTACAACTTTTTCACTTAAAAGTCATACTTACTAAAGAAAAATTCAGAGATACAATCTCTGTTCCATCCAGCCATAATTTTACCAACACTGTCTGAAATTTCCCTCCTCCCCCAGACATGAGGGAAGAGTCTATTACCGAATACTTACCTGTAGCACCACTACCTATGCATATTTCCTTGGAGGGCACAACACATCTACTAAGACTTCAGAATAGAAGCTACCCACTGTGCCATGCAACATGTCCGCAATCTTATCTTCTTTTCTTGAGAGCAAAGGCAGGAGCCTGCATCCAGTCTCCCTATGGAGGGACACTCCAGGCTCTAGAAGTAGAGTATTGTAGCAAAAGTGCAACTTCGACTGGCTAGGAGACTAGTCAAATTTAGGGGAGTCTCTCAGTGACCAATATCAAAGGGAGGAGTGCATGCAGACATGTGTAGGGATGAAATGTGATTGGCTGAATGTTGTCCAGCTGCATGCATGATGAAGTGTGCGCACGGATGTCAGTTGCTCAGTCGTGTCATCGCTAAATGGCAGTAGAGTTGTTCAGTCTGTGTGTTGTGTTCATTGAAAAGCCAAGGTAAAAGCATGCATTTTGTTGAGTGCACGTTTTGTGTACAGTTTACTTAGAGTAACTGCATGCTGTGTGTATCGTTTACTAGATAACTGCTAGGTTGTTACTGGCAGGTTGTGTTGTAGTGTGTAATGCTTGAGGGGCTGAGACCACAAGGATGGTGCTGTGGTCAGTGTACATTCGTCGCAGTAGCATTCTCTATAGGTGCAGGGAATAAGTTTAATTAAGTGAGTTGTTCTTTGTTCGGGCAGAGAATAAGCACAGTAAGCCACACTCTGAGTAGGTGGTTAGTTCTTTGTAGGAGTCAGCTGGTAAACCACTCACATAGTTTAGAGTAAGTGGTTTGTTCCTCAATGGAGCAAGGCACAGAACAAATTGCACATGTAGTAAAGCTTCATGTGTAGGGTCAGCCAAGTGTGGATGGGCATGCCGAGGGTTGAGGGCAGTATTGGTGTTTACTGCTCATGAGTTTAATGGTGAACAGGAACTGACGTAGCTTTCTTCTGGCTGTGTCCCATGTGGTTGACGAGAGCAGCTGTAGTAAACCACACATGCGCTCAAATGAACTCCACTGCCAGTCGTAAATTGTTATTGTGAGTATTGAAATCAGTCATACTGCAACATAGTCAACCACACAGCAAGTAGTCAGCCATACAGTGAGGTAGTCAGCCTTGCAAGTGAGCAGGTCAGCCATACAGCACCTTCAATCAAATAAAGGTTTACCCAATACATTTCACATTCCATTGCCATTCCATTGTCTTGATGATATATTGAGTCCCAACAATCAGGTGTCCCGCTGTGTTATTTTGAGACTAATTTAGCAAATTTAGGCAATCAATTCCTTTGTCGGTATATTTCCATCAAAGCGAGCCTGCATCCCTTAGCCTGGAGACTGCTTTGTTAGTCTCTGGACCTAGGAAGGGATTGGGTTCAGGAGATTTTGCCGCGTATTTGTTAGTAGACCCTTCCCACACGTGTGTGTGTGTGGGTGAGTTTGTACACACATTCAAATCGTGGACCTCTAACAATAGGGGACAATAGGGTCCACGGTTGCCGAAGAGTCCACAGTTGGGAAACGTGTACAAAACATATGGGAGGCCTCCCGAAAAAGTTAAAGTATGAACAGAAGAGGAACAATAGGGAGTCCACGATTGAAGGCGTTTACACACTTGTGGGTGTGTGCGGGGAGGAGGGAGGGGTTATGGAGCTCATCTTACCGGCAGTGCCACTACATGTACCTATGCAAAGCACCACTGAAACCAGGAGGTGGGTGTCAGGTGCTACTGTGGGCTTACCACAACCTTGTGCTTTGTCTAGTGAGGATGCGGAGGGCTGGCCTGTGTGAAGCTCATGGAGGTACATCTCTTACCGGTGGCAACACTGTTCTTCCAGAATGGCCCTCAAATTGGAGGGACGTCCCAAAGGTAGCAGGATGTGAGTGTGTTGGAGGATGTCAAACACACTGCTTGTAAAGTGTCAGTGAGTGGAACCCCCTTGCAGTATAGGCCCACAAGGCTGCTACTGCTCTTACATTTTGTGCTCTAACTTTTACAAGTCACCTTCTGATGAACATGGCCAGTTCTGATTGACAGACAGGATGGATGCAGTGTGCGATTGTTTCTTGTAAAACTGGGAAACAACAGGAACAGATATGATGAGACTAATCACATCTCTCCTGATTAGTGTGGTCCTGTTGAGGTACCACTTCTGGGCTTCAACTGGGCATTATTTCTTATTACCTTTTAGTAGTGTCTGGGACAAAGATATTGGGAACAGTGATGGAGTCAGCTGGGGCCAATTTCATAGAGCTGTTTAAGCACAGAATTTGATTAAGCATGAAAAACCTTGCTTAACCACTTCCTGTCGGGGACTCCGGAATCGGAGACGTATGGTTTATATGCGTGGCCGGGGTCTCCGAACTCAGAAAAAGGAAACAGGGCCCTGTAACAAAAAACCGTACTCCGGACAAAAGACCAGGCTGCTGGGCATTAACGACGTTTTTCACTCTCAAAAGTGGTGATAATCCAGCGTTATTTA